TCCACTCACCGGAACTGCCGTAACCCGAAAAGCATCAGCCACGGCAGACCTGGTTTAGCGACTCCAATCCATATTTTGGGCCTCGGGGACCAATCACTGACCGGCTCCCCTTAACCGGGGTCCTGGCTACACCCTACAAGATCCGCTGTTGGGGCATCCGTGCACCCATTCTTTCCGCCTGCCCATCCTCCTCCTCCTCCACCCTCCTCCTCCTCCACCACCCTCCTCCTCCTCCATCCTCCTCCTCCTCCTCCTCCTCCTCCTCCTCCTCCTCCTCCTCCGCCTCCGCCTCCTCCTCCGCCTCCTCCTCCTCCTCCTCCTCCTCCTCCTCCTCCTCCCCCCCTCCTCCTCCTCCTCCACTTCGCTCGTGCAGACGACTTCACCCGAGCTCCGACGCCTGCCGGGAGGCCCGCTGTGCCCGCCTCTTTCTCCGCCGGCGGCTCCCGGCGCGCGAGCCCCGGCCCGACGGAGAGAGGGCGATGCCGCCGCAGGGAGAGAGCCGCTGGCCACCAGCATGCCATCTTCTGTCCTGCACTCCATCCTCTCTCCTCGATCCTCCTCCTTCTCCTCCTCCTCCTCCTCCTCCTCCTCCTCCTCCTCCAACTCCTCCTCCTCCGCCTCCTCCTCCGCCTCCTCATCCGCCTCCTTCTCCTCCTCCTCCTCCTCCTCCTCCTCATCATCATCCTCCTCCTCCTCCTCACAGAGGTGGCGGTCAGCTTTGCCGAGGAAACAACCGAGCCAATCATCGGCCGTCGTTCCAAGCAGACAGTGTCAGGCCAGCTGGCGATCACGAGCGACTGCCGAAGAGCGACCCGAGCAACTGCCCGACCACAATCGGTCACTAGTCGAGCGACCTGGTTCAGCAGCCAAGCCGAAGCAAGCATCATTTCAAGAATGCGATCGCCGACAAACCTCGAAGCAAACAACAAGCAGACCATCCCTAGTCGATTTGAAAAAGAAGAAACAGCAAGCAGGCATGAGCCAGACGTTAGATCAGAACGGGAATCGTTCGCATCAAGCGTCCGTTCAAGCCAGTCCGACATACTCTTGATGTTCGAGGCGGAATGCCTCTCGTGCTACAACTAGAGCAGATCGATCCATCAATGGGCCATTCTAGACGTGAAGACCGATCGCCAGCTCAACACAGCAGCCCTCGTCAAGTGGAAGAGTTTGCTCGAGTTCAGATTCTCAGCAATCACCTTGGTGAGGAATCCCGTGGTGCGCCTCATCTTCGCCAATGGCCGTCGCCTGGGAGAGCCCCTGACGGAGGAGCGTCTGGGACGGGAACCACGGGCAACACGACGTCTACTGCCGCTGGGAAGCATGATCAAGCCAGAGGTCCAGGGGGAGATGGAAAGCAACGGCTTGAAGTACGGGAGATGCGGCTGCCGCTCGTCGCCGCAACCTCGAGGAGGAGGGGAAAGAGGAGGAGGAGGAGGAGGAGGAGGAGGAGGGGATGCGATGCCGAGATATGCGAGTCATGCTCCAGGAGGAGCACACCGAGAACGGTGAGAGGCGCAGAGTCAAACAGGCAGACGGAAAACTGCGGAGCTCCGCGGCATCACTAAGGGACGAAGCGCGAGGAGTTTCTCAGGCTGGCGCAGAAGCGCGACATCCCGGTCACTCCAGATATGCTGAAAGGCAACATCATCTCACTACCTACCAGACCACCCCAACCCAACCCGAAGACCCGAATTTAACTCGAATTTCGGGATGGGGGGTGGGGCGGGGTCCATGTGTTTTTTCAATGTTCCCCGACCCCCCCCCCCCCACTGGAAATGGAGGGCAAATTGAGGCCTTCGTGTTGGGTTGGGGTGATTTGGTGGGTGGTGATCATCTGCGTGCTTCAGGGCCAGACACCGACGGCGATCAAGAAGCAGGAGCCAAAGGCCGAGGACGGACTATCAACTACGTTCGACCTCGAGGGTTGCTTCGAGGGACTACATTCGCTCGCATGACTACGAGCGCCAGGAATGTCGCGCAGCCGGTGGAGACTTCGACTGAGGAAACGGAGGACATCAGCCCGGAGGAGTTTGCAGTGGAATACGCCGGAATCGAAGAAAATCAGTCTTGGGAAATGAGCATACCACACGGGAAGAGCCGCCTCCGAGGCGGGTGAGGAAGAACAAGATGAAGCCAGGACAGGTCAAGCGCCTCAAGGATATGATCGGAAAGGCAGTCGTTGTCCTGACCTGGCAAACGACGATCCTGGGTACCTTCCTCGTCAATCCCCTGTCCAGCAAAAGCAAAATCATGGCTCAAGACCTCTACGACGTGTTCAAGATCAAGCACGACGACCGCTACGATCTCATTACGATCTTCGCTGGGGAAGCCGTGCTGTCGGAAGAGTTTGCCCGAGCCGAACTGAAGGTATGCGAGCCCATATATTAGCGCTATAACTACGACCTGCGCAACCCTAAGGATGGGCATGAACTCCAACAAACACGTTCATTGTGTGTGTCGACCACGACTCATCACGCTGGACTTAACGCGCCTGCACCACAAGGGAGAGTACCGTCAGCAGGAGCTTACGTGGAAGCGACTGGAGGAGAAGCTCCTGCTAGATTTCATGGAAGGATCCCACTATACGCGACTGGCTGGGCGCTACACCCCGGAATTCTGCCAGGCAGTGCTCTCCGCGCTCCAGCAATCCCACGAGAGCTACGTCACAGACACGGAGTACTCGCCGCCAAAGATCTCATGGACCTCGTGGGCGGAGAGTCGGACGATTGGTTATACTTCGAGATGGTCGGCGACTGCACGAAGCTGCTCACACAATTTCCAGATAGACCGACCTGCGATCGAACAAGGCGACGACGTATCGTTGACCTCGGTGCCAACATGGTGCTCCAGGACTTCGAGAAGTTGGGCATCCCGCTAAATCACCTGAGGAAGAAGCTCGATCATCCGGCCAAACTTCGAGTACAAATGTGGTACAAACCCGAGCAAACACCACAGGACCTCGGTGCTAAGGTTCGGTCGGGCATGTCCTCCTACATGCAGATTTTGAAAAAATCAAAACTAGGCAAAACAATGAAAAAACAGATCCCCCGAAAAAACAAACAATCGTCCCCAGACTATTGTTGGACTATTTTTGAATATTCCCCCTGATGGACATGCCCGACTTAGTGCTAAGGCCACTCAGTTTGGGCCAGGAAGCGCCGGAGGCTCGGGTCGAGATCTGCAGCACTGCGGCAGCTATGTAAGAATCGGGACACACCCGAGCAGCGAAGACCTGGCCAGATCCCTGCGCTCCTCGGGGTGCCGGCCCGCGGTGGTGAAAGCCGTCGAGCCACTTCGCTGCGCCTCGCGTCTCAAGGAAGTCCGCAAGAAGCTTCCCTGACCCGCTCGCTTTTCACACGCAGCCGGGTTCGATGAGATCGGGCTGGACTGTGTCACTATCAAGAACGTCGATGGTAAGAACTGGGATGTCTTACCAGTGGTGGAGCTGGCCCCTGGCGGTCTTTCGGGACGATTCGGGCACCCCCAGACAGCCCTCGGCGAGGCCCAGCCGCTGAAACGCATGCCGAGCCTGCTGAAACGCATCCCGAGGCCGAAACCACCCCAAAACCTTCCGTCGTGCTTTTTTCGCGCGACGCGAGCAAGCCTCGGATCGCATCGCCGGATCGCGAGCGCGGCTAGCAGGCTTCGCCGGAAGCGGGCCGCCTTTTCGCGCACGGCCGCGCGCAGGGCTCCCACGCGCGCGCCCCGGGCGGGTGGGCCGAGGCCGCAACAGGCGACGGCGGCGGCGGCGGCGGCGGCGGCGGCGGCGGCGGCGGCGGCGGCGGCGGCGGCGGCGGCGGCGACGACGACGACGACGACGACGACGACGACGACGACGACGACGACGACGACGACGACGACGACGATAAGGAGCGGGGGTTCGCCGTTGGCGTCCTCGACGCCGTCGCGCCGCAGCCCACGCCGCGACCCCCCCCGCGGACCACCCCGGCGGCCCACCACCCGCGACCCGCCCCGCGACCCAGGCACGCCTGCCGCCCGCGGCGCCCACCAGCCGCGCGCCCCGCGACCTGCCCACGCTCCGACCCGCGACCCGAGGACGATGCCGCGCCCCGCTCGAGCTGCTGAGCTGTGGACAGCTCGGCGCCCGCGGCGAGCCCTTGGCCTCGCCCTGGCGAGTCGCAACGAAGCGCAGCCGCGCAACCACGAGGGCTCGCGTCCCGCGCGCAGCACGCCGCGCCCGCCGCCTCGCGCCACGCCGCGAGCACCTGGGCGTGCGTGCCGCGCCCGGCGGGCGCACGGCACCCGAGGAGCGGGAAGCGCCACTCGCGGCTGGCGCAAGGCCGCGGCTCGACCCCGCAGCCGCGCGTCCCGCCCACGGCCCACGCGCGCCGTCGCCCGCGTCAGTCTTGGACACGTCGGCGCCTGCGTCGGCCCTGTGGCTTGGCTCGGGGGGGCACCGTTGCCAGTCGTGATCCGCCGAGGGTTCATGCGCGACACGCCCACACCGGCTTGCAGCATCGGCGCCTGCAGCGGGCTGGTCTGCAGTGGCTCTCGAGGACACCACTGCTCTGCTGCGTTGGCTGGTCGCTCTGCCGCAGCACGGCTGCACGGACGCCCCCAGCACGAGCACCACACCTGAGGGATCTCGTAGTGCGCCCTACGAGTGGCCGAAGTGCACACAGAGCCTCAAAGCCTGCTCCCCGACCGTCAGGGATGCGATCCAGACAAGGCCAGTCGAGGCGACTGCAGCCGTGGGGCGACGGTGAGACCACTCGACGACCAACAGAGCAGTGTTCGAAATGCGCCACCAAGATATGGCCAGATCCTCTGCGGGGGAGTCTCGTGCCGTGGGCTCGGGGAGCGGTGGACATGGATATCAGCCCGCCCACGCGGGCGGGCCAATATCTAGATCCATCATTCCTCGCGATCCCAAGGCACGACTCCGAAGCGGTGGACCTGGACATATTCTGGCGGGAACCGTGCAGACGGGATGTGCGAGCACGAGGCCGAGGGGGCATGGCGCGCGCACTGCCTGGTCAGCCGTCGACGCGGCGCTGGCGTCGTCGGTGACCGCCGCCGTGGCGTTCCACACCGAGACAGCTCTCCTGGGGACTGGGGAGGAAAAACGAGGACCATGACTCCGCCAAGGTTGAACGCGGAACGTCGGTCCGGATCTTGGTCACAGCCCATCTTTGTCAGCGTCGGTTCGTGGATCATCCTCGCGGATCGGTGACGGCCAGCACGGACCAGGACCAAGATCAGCGTCGGCAAGATCCCGCGACACCTAGATTGGATGATCATTCTTGTGACCCTTTTGGATCCAATCGCCCCGCTCGTGCGTCGAAGCTGCGTCGAACGTCCGTCGACTCGAGTCGAACCTAAGTCGAATCTGAGTCGAACCTGAGCCGAACCTGAGTCGAACTTGAGTCGAACTTGAGTCGAACTAGGGTCGAACTAGAGTCGAACTGACCCATTAGGTGGGCCCCAGGAAGATTCGCAAAACGAGCATCTAAAGGGGGAGGGCCACACAGCCGGCGGACACGGAAACGAACGCGCGGCCGTGCGCGCCGTGACCCGTCCACCGCGAGGGGGCTGCTGGCCTGGCGAGGACCTCGGCCTCGGATCGGCTCGGGCGTCAACCTTTGGGGCAGTCCTGGGGCTCCTCGGCGTGACAGGTATCCTAACAGGCCTCCTGGATGGGGTCGGAGAAGATGGGGTCGGAGTGTCGCGCCGCATCGCCAAGACATCGGCGATGCATCGCCGATGCTTCGGCGATGCATCGGCGACATCGGCGATGCATCGGCAACTCCAGCGTGAAGAATATCGGGCTCCGCATCGAGCCGCATCGCCGATGCATCGGCGACACGGCGCGATCCTTCGACGCCCTTTGCTCGGACCCCCTCCGGGAGTCCCAGATATCCGCGGGGCACCAGCGGCCCAGACTGGACCTCTGGGGGGGGGGTCCTCGCCAGGCCTGCAGTGAAGTAGAGTCCCCCATGCCACTCGCCGACCAGCCATAACTGGGGGAGCAGTGGTCCCTAACCCCCCTGGGGGAACCCATCGCATCGACGATCTAGCGAGAGGGGTGTCGAAATCGATGGGTCCCCCAGGGGGGTAAGGATCACAGCTCCCCCAGTTGTGGCCGGCCTGACTCGCCGGGTGACCCTCGCCCCCCGCGCATTCCGCTCCAGAGTCCTGGCCGAAGCTGCAGGTGGTGGGCCGGTTTTCCACCACCACCACCACCACCACCATAAGTTGCCCTCCTCCTCCTCCTCCTCCTCCTCCTCCTCCTCCTCCCCTCCTCCTCCTCCCTCCTCCTCCTCCTCCTCCTCCTCCTCCTCCTCCTCCTCCTCCTCCTTCTCCTCCTCCTCCTTCGAACCCCGAGGCAAGTTTTTAGGGCGGGCCGGGCGTTTTGCCTGAGACTTCCTCACCCCTTATGACTCTGAAGCTTAAAAATTGCAACAGCTTCACAGATGGAGGACGAGTCCTTTTCAAAATGTGGCTCTCGCCTTAGCGCCGCGCACATTCGTTTTCGAAATCCCACCAGCCCTTTGGGCGTGAGTGGTTTAGGGAGCTCTCTCTGTTCTCAACCCCCCTTCTTCCCCTTCGGGGAGGGGTTTACCCCTCCCCCTAACCCCCTCCCCCTGGGCCTGGAGAGGTCCTTCCACGGGTGGTCAGAGGGGTCTTTTTCGACTCCTGGGAGGGCTAAAAAACGACACCCCTCACGAGGATTCTGGCCCCGACGGGGGGGGGGAGAAAAAATGCTCCCCTCTTCTTTCAAGCCAAAATCATTGATTTTACTACGGTTTGGGCCCCATTTTGGCCTTCTGAGGGGGCAGCGCTAATTAAAGCTCCCCTCTTCTGTGAAGCCAAAATCATTGATTTTACTACGGTTTGGGCCCCATTTTGGCCTTCTGAGGGGGCAGCGCTAATTAAAGCTCCCTCTTCTTTGATCGATTTCCTCCAAGATGGCCCCAAGAAGCGCCCAGGAGGCACCAAGAGGCCCCAAGATGGCCCCAAGAGGCCCCCAGGAGGCCCCCAAGAGGATCCCAAACGGCCCAAAGAGGCCCCCCCGAGGCACCCAAGACGCCGAAAAGCCCATCAGGACGACCCTCTACTCGCCTGGGCGTCGTTTCTGGACGGGCAGGAGGAGGGGCCCGAACGACTCACACCAGGACGAGGGGCCCGAACAACTCACACCACGAGAAGCCCGAACGACTCACACCAGGACGAAGAGCCCGAACGACTCACACCACGAAGAGCCCGAACGACTCACACCAGGAAGAAGGGCCCGAACGACTCACACCAGGACGAGAAACGCCCGAACGACTCAAACCACGAGGAGCGCTTTCTCTCCCTCCTCCTCCGCCTCGTCCTTCTCCCGCTCCCACCACAAGGAGGATGTACAAGGAGGCGGGAGGAAGGAGGAAAAGGGGAGATATGCGGGGGCAGGCGGAAACACGCCTGAAAAACACGACTGTCGGCATGCTTCGCTAGAGTTGCTGTTTTGAGCTGGGCTGGTGGGGATACGCGAAGCGTGAAGAATTTGCAAAAGTGTCCCGGATTGAAGGCGGGTTGCTTTCAAAATGTGGCTCTCGCCTTAGCGCCGCGCACATTCGATATTGAAAGATTTGCAAGAGCTTCACGGATTGAGGGCGGATGGTTCTCAAAATGTGGCTCTCGCCTTAGCGCCGCGCACAGTCGTTTTAAACAACGCAAGAGTTTAGAGTATCGAGGGCGGTTCCTTTTCAAACTGTGGCTCTCGCCTTAGCTCCGCGCACTTTCGTTTTAAAAAATTGCAAGGGTTTCACGGATTGAAAGCCGCTCCGTTTCAAAATGTGGCTCTCTAGCGCCGCGCACATTCCTTTTATAAACTGCAAGAGTTTTGCTGATTGAGGGCGATTCCTTTTCAACATGTGGTTCCGGCCTTAGCGCCGCGTACATTCGTTTGAAAAATTCATGAGAGCTTCACGGATTGAGGGCGGGTGGTTGTCAAAATTAAGCTCTCGCCTTAGCGCCGCGCACATTCGATATTGAAAGATTTGCAAGAGCTTCACGGATTGAGGGCGGATGGTTCTCAAAATGTGGCTCTCGCCTTAGCGCCGCGCACAGTCGTTTTAAACAACGCAAGAGTTTAGAGTATCGAGGGCGGTTCCTTTTCAAAATGTGGCTCTCGCCTCAGCGCCGCGCACATTCGTGTTAAAATTGCACAAGTTTCACGGATTCCCATGATCAGCGTACCTGAAATTGCGTTTTGGAAGGATTCAGGATTATGCGGGCGCAACGGTTATGTTGATTCGCAGTTGAAGTCCCAACAATGGCGTTCTGACACGATTCTGCATCGTCAAGACGCAGCAGTCAGGTTGATACGTGGCGTTGAAGTCTCGAGAACAATGTTTTGGTACGCTTCAGGATCTTCATATTGTTGTCTTCCAACGAGGCAGCTCCCTCAATGGAAATGAACCTTTGCAGGGGCCTATGAAGAGGGAGCTTGGAGGGAGGATTCATTCCAACATCGTTGATGACTCCTGGGTTTCCACCGGTCCTCCTCCTCCCTCCTCCTCCTCCTCCTACTCCTCCTCCTCCTCCTCCTCCTCCTCCTCATCCTCATCCTCATCCTCATCCTCATCCCCCCCCTCCTTCCCCCAATCCAACTTATGGTGGTGGTGGTGGAGAACAGCCCCATCAGCAGGTGCTTGCCTGGGTGAGAGGCTCTGCCAGCAGCTCCGGCGCCCGAGCCGAGCACTTACCTTCCCAGCGCGCCCCCCCCCCCCCCCCAACCCGCCCCCCCGCCCCCCGCGCCCGCCCCGCAAGCGCACGCGCTCGGCACACTGAAGTCCGCCGCTCCCCGTGGGGGGGCGCCCTGCGGCGAAGCTCCGTGCTGGACCGCCGTCCTGCTGCCGTCTCTTGCGGGCGTCTTCTTCTTCGGCGTCTCGACACTGGGCAGAAGGGGAGGGGAGAGGGGGGGGAATCTGGCTCCTGACCTCTGCTTCATGCGACGGTTTGCGGCAGTGCGCCCTGTGGCGGCGGAAGCTCCACCTGCCTGAAACAGGCGCCAAGAACAGCCAAGATCTACTCCACGAGGGGGGGGGGAGGGGGGAGTCCGAGGGCCCGCGGCGATCGGCAAAACAGTGAAGAAGAAAACGAACACCTATCTTTTCTCAAGTCGGGCGTGTCCCCCATACAGGGGGATTTTGGGCGAAAACATAAAAATACTCGAAAAATGCCCCCCAAAATGCTCAAAAATAGTTTTTTTTCTTTTAACGTCCCCAGAATATGTTTTGACTATTTTTGAACACTCCCCCTGTAGAGGGACACGCCCGACTTAAACCTTGTCCTCGTCCTTGCTCGCGTCCCGCCTCCTGCTCCCCGCCTCGCGCCTCTCTCCGACCCCGTCTCCTCCTCCTCCGCTACCTGCGGCCACGAGGGGCCCGCGGCGTGAAGCCGCTCCAGGCCCAGGATTCGCACCAGGATGAAGGGGCCCAGAGACACACAAAAATGAATACACACAAATCCCAAGATTCCCAACATCTTCTCGTGCTTTCTGGGTTTCCGTCCTCCCCCCCAGTTCCCATATTTTCCTATATATTTCCAATTTTTTTCCTGGGAGTCGACGATTCATTGTGTCTGTGTGTTTTTTCCTATCCTGACAGGACGCCACCGGACGGTTAAGAGGGCCCACGAAGCGTCCAGCAGAACCCCAACAGAGTCCCACGAGAGCCGGAAGAGCCCAAGACAGCCCCCCCAAGATTGCCTCAAGGCGGCACCAAGACGATGCCGGATAGCCCCAAGAACCCACCACGAGTGCACGAAAACTCAGAGAAAGCAACGGACATGTGAATAAAAAACGCTGGTGATGTTTAGGCTGTGGTGATCGCCTGCTTCCCTCCCAATGTGGCCCACGATGGCTTCAAGACACACCCAGAAGCCACAAAACCATTCCAAAATCGCCCAAGATGGCCCCAAGGTCGAATCCGGAGGCCCCAAGACGCCACCTACTTCGCTTAATACTAGCCCACACGATCGCCAAGATGGCAAAAAGCTACCCCAAGATAGCCGGACACTGCTTAGTGACCGTTCCTTTTTCTTTCTCGCGTGACAATTGTTACCCGGGGGGGCAGGAAATGGTCGGGCAGGAGGGTAACGGTAACGGCGGCCGCGGCGTGCACCCGCCAGGGTGCGTCCGCGCCAGGGGCGCATCAATCGCCCGTGCGCACCACAGCATGTAGGGGGGGATCCAGACCACCACCCCCCAATACGATCGTTAGCGTTACGTTGGAGGGGGGGGGGCTGGCCCGGGTAACGAGCGTCACCCTGGGGAGGAACAAGAAAAGCGCTCAACCAGATAGCCCAAGTGGCCCCAGGAGGCCCCAACACGCTCCAGGAGGGCCCAAGAGGCCCCCGGAGGCCCGAACACGCCCCAGGAGGGGGGGGAGAGGAGGAGGAGGAGGAGGAGGAGGAGGAGGAGGAGGATAAGAAAGAGGAGAAGGAGGAGCAGGAGGAGGAGGATGGGGCGGAGGAGGAGAATGAGGAGGAGGAGGAGGAGGAGGAGGAGAAGGAGGGGGAGGAGGACAAGCTTGGTGCGCTCGCGTCATATCTGACGTCCTACCTCTCCCTCCCATCCCTTACCGTGGCGTAGATCTCCTTTCTATTCGCACAGTCCGATGTCGAGCAGGGCAATGATCGCGAGATGGATGCATCGTAGAGCACGGCATGGCATGGCGCAGAAGAGCACGGCAGAGCGTATAATGTCATAGCATGGCGTGGCATTGCGTAGTGAAGCGTTGCATCACAACGCATTGCAACGCAAAGCATGGCATCGCACAGCGGCGCAGAACAGAACACAGCACAGCATGTCATGGCAGGGCGCCCGGTTCCTTGGAGGGTAAGTGGATCGTCTTCGAAGGGTCTGGGCCGGTCTGGTGTCGCGGTTCCATGCTTACCTCCCTGGGCTCCCGGAAAAGTTCCCCACAAGGCGGGGCTGATGGGGAGCACCCGCTGGTTCTGTTTGCAAAATCGCCTTCCGAAAGCAGAAACGGGGCTCCCGCTTGATACTTCCTCCAAACGAGGCCGACCCGAAATGGGGGGCTTCTGCGGCCCAGAAACTCAACGAATCGGCACCAGATGTACAATCACTTGCGATGGTTTTCTGTTGCAAGTCATTTTCTAGATTTGGGGCCTACTTGGAAGGACCGAAAACGCCGGTGCTACAGCGGGAGCACGTTTTGGAGCAAGAGCAACCAAAGGCGCAGAAATGCGGCCAGCGCTGCAGGAGCAACATGTTGAAGGACCGAAGAGAATCGGATTGTCAGAACACATATATGAAAACCAGGAGATGAGGTCAACGCTGCAGCGGGAGCACGATTCGGAAGGAGTGGAAGCCCGAAAATGAGGCCCGCGCCTTAGCGGGAGCTACATTTGAAAACAACAAAAATGCGCGCTAAAAACCCGTACGCGGAAGGGGGCCGGATATTCCAGACGTCATCAGGATAGGAGAGAGAGAGAGAAGAGTAGTACTCATAGTGAGGAGGAGGGAAGAGGAGGAGGAGGAGGAGGAGGAGGAAGAGGAGGACGAGGAGCAGCAGCAGGAAAAAGAGGAGGAGAAGGTAGGGGAGGAGGAGGAGGAGGGAGAGGAGGAGGAGGAGGAGGAGGAGGAGGAGGACCAGTGTAAAACCAAGAGTCATAAACGATGTTGGAATTAACCATCCCTCCGAACTCCCTCTTCACAGGCCCCTGCAAAGGTTCATTTCCAGTGAGGGAGCTGCCTCGTTGGAAGACAACAATATGAAGATCCTGAAGCGTGCCAAAACATTGTTCTCGGGATTTCAACGCCACCTATCAACCTGACTGCTGCGTCTTGACGATCCGGAATCGTGCCAGAATGTCATTTTTGGGACTTCGCCACCACGAATCAACAGAATTGCTGCATCCACATAATCCTCGCTCCGTCCAAAATACCATTTCTGGTATGGTGATTCATCATGGAAGTCCGTGAAACTCTTGCAAAGGTTGAAAACGAATGTGCGCGGCGCTAAAGCGAGAGCCACATTTTGAAAACGACCCGCCCTCAGTCCGTGAAAATCTTGCAATTGTGAAAGTGAATGCGCGCGGCGCTAAGGCGAGAGCCACATTTTGAAAACGACCCGCCCTCAATCCGTGAAACTCTTGCAAATGTTGAAAGCGAATGTGCGCGGCGCTCAGGTGAGAGCCACACTTTGAAAACGACCCGCCCTCAATATGTGAAACGGTTGCCCCGTTTTAACTCTCAGACTCATAAATGGTGAAGAAGTCTCAGGCGAAACGCCCGCCCGCCCTAAAAACTGGCCTCGGGGTGCGACAGGGAGGAGTTATCTATAAGAAGAAGGAATGGAGGAGCAGGAGGAGGAGGAGGAGGAGGAGGAGGAGGAGGAGGAGCAGCAGGAGGAGGAGAGGAGAGGAGGAGGAGAGGAGGCGAAGGAGGAGGAGGTTGGGGAGGAGGAGGGGGAGGAGGGCAATACCCCATCCACATTTAACGCTGCTTTCCGAGGGCGCCCCGCGGTCCTCAGGAGGCCGTCGCGCCCCAGCAGCGCCCCGAGCTCGGATGCCTGGCCGCGGCGCAGCTGCGCGACGGACGGCGCGGGCTCGCCGTCGGGCCTCCGCGGACCGCGGGGATGGGGAGGGAAGGAGGGAGGGAAGGGGGGAGGGGAGGAGGGAATGGGAGGGGAGGGGAGGGGAGGGGGGAGGGAAGGGGAGGGGGGAGGGAAGGGGGGAGGGTTTTTTTGATTTGACACGTCGCATCGCAAAGGCTAAGACCAACAAGGCAGGGAGGAAGTCACTAGAGGGCCCAACCCCCAAATGGGGTAGGGCACACCAGCAACTCACTCCCACCCCACCAGTCGAAGCCAAAGAACCACCGCTGTCCACAGTACAGGTGAAATCCGCTACAGGCACCAGCTCATCATGCAACACATCCCTACGCATACGGTTGGGATGGATGCCTCTCCTAATGCGAGAGAGGTTACCACGCGTGTGGTTTGAGGATGGCCCGCCATTGCAGGCCTTCCCAAGCCCACCAAGACGCACCCACTCGGATACACTGCCACAGTCCATGCAACAGAAAAGGGTGACCCCGTCAGGGGTACCAGTCACGTGAATTTTGTGCCCCTGGGGCTCCTGCACGAGGGCACACAGCATGGAATTGAAACCAATACAACCCGCAGAAGGCTCCGGAGGATCAGTGCGCACACGGATGAGGCACCGCGTGCAGGCCCACAGGCCTCGAATCCACCTGAATTGATGGCCTCGCTCTCTGCGCTGGGACACCAGCGCCCCACCTAAAGTGGGCACGAGGCTCGGGCCTTCAGGGCCTCCAACCGAAGGAGGGGCAGGAGGCGGGGGGACACCCCGAGGGGGAGGAAAAGGGGTTTGGATCTCCCGAGCCAGCCGCGCCCAGCACCTCGTCGGCGGCACTGACGGTGGCGGCTCGGGCGGCACTGCCTCCAGCAGCGGCGGCGCTGGCAGCTCCAGCGCGGGACGAGCCTGCCCTGCCCAATCTCTTGCTGGGCCTGGCAGGCGCAAGGCTTGACCAGTGCAAGAGAGTCTTGGCCACACAAATCAAGAAACTCTGCAGGCTAGAGGTTTCAAGGCTACACTCAGAAAGCTCGTTCTCAGACGGACGGGAGTGGGTCATCGCAGCCGCCTTCGCAGCCCCATCGGCCCAGTGATTTCCTTTAACGCTCGAAACAATCGGCACTTTGATGACCTTTCACTTTCGTGATAGCAACAGCATCTTTCCTGGGCAGGTGGCTCAGAGCTAGGAGAACAGGTCCAGCGTAGTAAGCCCTTCTGTCTGAAACAACTTCCAACGGCTTCTCGATCGCGGCCACAAGCCCTTTGTAGTCAGTACAGAATTCAGACGCCAAACTCGCATGCTTGCAGCTGGCCAAAAAAAACTACATGCTCCGAAGCAGGATTCGTCTGTGGCAACTTAGCTCCAACCTTGCCCGAGAGAATAGCGTAGGGTTCCCCACCGTCCTGGAGGTATACACATGCCCAGCCTGCACAATGGTGGACTTTGTGACCTTCCTTAAAACAAAAGCCGTCGTGAAAGCACTTGTTGTTTCGGAAAGCCTCCAAGGGGGTCATGTTGGGGTCAACACAGAAGAAGGAATAGCTTTCATGCCCAAAACCATCAGGCGGCCTCAAGATGTTCTCAGGAACCAGCTGAAACCCAAGCATAAGAGGATTCTTCTTATCTTCACGAGAGACCAAATCAGCCACTTCTTCCTTCAGGAACTCATCCCTTACGCTTATGGTAGCGGAGCATCCAAACAAACGGTGGTGAAGATCATCCCGTGGGAATCGACACACAGGGCAAGATTCGTCTTCAACATCGTAGCCCAATCTAGCTAGTCTCCACGTAGACCACAAGCACTGTGTGACAAAAGCTTTCAACATGCACTTCTCAGCATACGACAAAACACTGCTGGGGGATAACAGCTGGCAGCAGACAGACGTATCCAAGAGCTCTCCAGGGTGTCCAAAACTTCCGAGCAGCCTTCAAAGCCAACATGTACATCCACGCAGCTCTAAGATCACAGAGAACTTAGGGAAGGGGGGAGGGGGAGGGGAGAGGGACGGGGAGGGGAGGGGAGGGGGGAGGGGACGGAGGAGGGACGGGGGAAGGGGGGAGGGGGAGGGTAGGGGGGGGAGGGGAGGTCGGCACACTGCTGGAAGCCTTTCCCCGGGAGACGGCCCTGGGGGAGGGGGCCCTGCCGTCGGGCCCCGCCGCCCATGTTGGGAGGCCCGAGGACAGACCGCAGACCCAGATTCCAAAGGCGACCCGCGGGATCACAATCCCGGAGTGGGCGAGCAGCCACCTGGAGGGGAGCCTGTAATCGGCGGCGAGCGAGGGGGGGGAAGTGAGAAGGAGAAGGCCTCCTCAGAAGGCGGCTGGACTTCTCGGAAGCCCTCGCGCGCCTCCTGGGCAGGCTTCTTTTTGCCTTCGGGAAAGGCTCCGAACACTCCTCAACGGGCCGGAAGACCTCCGAACCTTCTTAGAAGGCCCTCTCCTCGTCACTTCCCCCCCTCGCTCGCCGCCGATGTCGACGATCCTTGCCTGGGCAAGGTCGCCAAAGCGCACCGCCTGCGCGCACGTGGACCTGCTGCGCCGGGGGAGGAGGCCCAGGCCCCGCCCGCCTGCGGAAAAGCTCCCCCGCAGGCCCTCCCGTGGAGGCCCCCGGTCGCTCCCGAGGAGCCCCCCCGAGCGCCGCGCTCGGACCGCCGGGGCCTCCACGGAGCTCGGGAGCGGCCAGGAGGGGGGTGCCCAAGAGGCCCAGACATCGGGCGTCTCGAAAAAATCGAGACGGAGGTTTGTCGCAGTTTTTGGCCTCTCGGGACCGTCGCCGGGCCTCGGGGCCGTCAAAAAACGACTCGGGATGAAAAACTGGTCCCGGGGAAGTGGTCGGGAGGTCGGGGGCCCGTGTCTCGAACAAATCGTGACGTCGGATGTTTGGGGAGGGGGGGATGTGCAGATCATGGCTGGCGGCACGTGTGCGGCCCTGCGGGGGGAGCCAGGGACGCTAGGAGGCGCCATGAGCTCTGGGGAGAAACATCCGGGCCCCCGCCATGCTATCCCCCCCCCCCTAGTCGTCCCCCCCCTCTTTGCCGCCCCCGAGGAGCCCGGGTCCACGGAGCGGGCCCCGGGGAGCTCTCCGAGCGGCCGCGCCGCCGGCGGCCCGCCCGGCCCGGCAGGGCACCCGGCCCTCCCCGGCCCCGCCCAGGGAGCCGCCCAGGCCAGGCCTCCGCGCCGCGCCCGAGGAGGGGCGCCCGCGCGCTCCCGAGGAGAGCGGCGCGGGGGAGCGGAGCGAGGGGAGCAGGGGGAGGGGGAGGGAGGGAGAGGTGGCCGCCCCCGTCCCCTCCCACCCACACCCCTCTCCCCGGGGGAGGGGTCGGGGAGAGAGGGGGGGGGGCGGGGTCGGGGAGAGGGGAGCTGGGCCCCCCTGGGCCCTCCTCGGTCCGCGCGCTCGCCGCACGCCCACCCCGCACGCAGGGAGGCGTGGACCGGAGCGGCGTGCGGCAGGGCCCTGATCCTCAGGAGGGGCGGCGCGGGGGGGGGGGGGAGGAGGAGGAGGGAGCATGGTGAGAGGGCGGGAGGGAGGGCAGCGGTAAGGGGCGGGGGAGGGGACGGCGGCCGGCGCGGGGGGAGAAGGGGGAGGCAGGGAGAGGCAAGGCGGCAGCCGCCAGAACAGCGGCAGACCTGCTCGGAGCCCTTCGCTTCTCGAGGAGGCGGGGGCTGAGCTCGGCAGGGGAGGGGAGGGAGGGCTCCACCCGTCCCGTCCCCTCCTCGGGGAGGCCCACGAGATGGGGAGGGGCAGGGAGGGCGCAGGATAGCTCAAAGCTCGGGAGGGAGAGCAGAGACCTCCTAGATAGGGGTCGGAGAAGATGGGGCCAGAGGATCGCACCGCATCGCCAAGGCATCGTCAAGGCATCGCCGATGCATCACCGATGCATCACCGATGCATCGGCGACGTCGGCGACGTATCGGCGCCGGCGGCGTGGGGAAACATGGCCTCCACGTGGACCGAGCCGCATCGTCGATGCGATCGGCGATGCGGCGCGATCCTACGACCCCATCTACTCGGACCCCATCTGGGAGGCCTAGAGAGGGGGGGGGAGGGCTTCACCCTTCCCATCCCATCACGGGGAGGGCCAGTTGGGGGGGGGGGGGGGCCTTCCGAAGCAGGACTCGGCCCGAGGAAGAGGATGGGGAGAGCGCCTCCGTCGAGGCCAGGCGTCACGCTTCATCCTCGGCGGCGACGAGAAACCCCAGGAGGCCCGGGACACAGTCCCAGAAGAGCGGAGAGCGGCGAATACGGTAGGGGCTCGGCCACGAGAAACCTTCCACTAGAAACCCAGCCCTGAGGCCCCAGGACGTCCACTGAAGCTTGGTGTGGGAACGCCACGCGCCCCATGGCAAAGCCAGCGAAATCCCAGAAACCCAGGGCACCCTGGAGGCGAGCAGGGTGTTTTCTTGACATGGGCTTCCACTGTAGGGCCCCTCGCACCTCGAGATTCGACCCCAATGGTACGGAGGAGGGAAGGAACGAGGCGCGGGAGTGGGAGGTGAGGAGGACGGGAGGGGCTGAAGGATGCAGGGTATGAGCAATAGCATTCGGATGCTGTCAACGATTCCTTCGGCCGCCTGCGTCGAGCGGAAGGGAAACGCGTTGTCATCACAGCACATGGGCCGCCGATCCAACACCACGCAAGCTTCCTGAGAAGCGAATTGCGACCTGCAGCCTACATCGATTCCCTCCTGAAGCCATCTTGGATCCTGGGAACTTCCCAAGAAGCTCATAGCAACCTGCAGCCTACTTCGTGGCCCTGTTGGGGCCCTCTTGGAACCCTGTCAGGGCCTTCGGGGCCCGTCCAAAAGACCTCTTGTAGATGTCCTGGGCCCTCTCGGAGCCATTTTGGACCATCCCAGTCGTTGAAAATCGACGCGACG